TTTTTTGTATCACTAATGCATCACACTTCTGGCCTCTCTTTACTCCACGAAACAGACTAATCAGCCAACAAAATGGGCCTTCTTGTCTTCCTGAATTTCCCCACGTCTCCCCAAGGGGATCCTCTCTGCCCCCTCCCAACATCAGAGCACGAGCCGCCAAGTCTGGTAGACCAATCAGATCACTTAGTCGATCCTCAGACATGTTAGCCATCGAGGAGGCCTCACAGGAGCCTAGTTCCTCTGCTATGGAAGTGAGTTCAGTTGCGCATTTTCTGTACTGGACTTCGAATATTTCATTTATTATGACTGCTTTGTTTTTGTTCCTAGGAGCCATCAATAATAGAAACATGTGCAGCCTCTGTGGCCAAGGTAGTGTCGTCCGAAGACAACGGAGAACTCTCCAAGTACGACTGCTTCGCCATTTCCGCTTTCATATAGCCAGAATTTCCTCCCTGTCCGAAATATTTGGTCGTCAGGAGGGAGGAATCTGTTTCCTTATTTACACTATAAATGCGAGTAGTTAATGCGTTTGCAATGTGGAGACAAAGCGGTGCACTCGAGATTTAGAAAAGTATTTTCGTTAGTAATCTTGCTACTCTCCTCAACATTTACTGTGCGAATGAATCCATGTTGCGTGATATTCACAAACTGCCAAAAGACGCATTTATATTTAAAAAGCACTATTACTAACTAGAAGCTTGGACCCGTATTTGAACAATTTTGTGACTCTGCCCTGATGGAGTTCGGCTTATCGGTAAGTCTTCTAGCGTTGCTAATGTGATTAAGGGCCTTTGGGCAGTCGAGCTTGTTGGTAGTAAGTTACAGGAAAAATACTTTCCCCAAGAATGTTGGACTACTCTCACGGAGATAATGCTAGTAGTTTTACTGTGAATATACATGTAAAAAGATCACGCATTTATCAATATTCATCTCTCTGTAATACAAGCCACTGTGCGGCTGCTGGCGGGGCTCGAGACTGAGTCCCAAGGTCGAACGGGACGATTGCTTTCCTTACCCGATCGGTGAGCGCTCATCCCCCAAGAATGCCTGGTCAGTCGAGATGCATTGCCAAAATCTGGAGGAGATTCGAGCTGTCATGTCAGACTAATTGGACGTCATTAGCCAGTCGTATCCTAACCAGCAGTCCCAGAGGACTCGAAGTTTGAATCCTGGGAATACTGGGAATTAAGTTTAGCCACTCTGCTTGTTCGATTGTTGCAAACGACAGCGCCCATCGCGTGCCCTAGGGAGTGCGTGCAGTACCCATGACTTGCTCGTGAATTCTTTTATCGTGAGGTAGACTTGTGTGGCATCCATCGCGCTACGTTTTTGTGTGTTTTCATTTCACTTAAAGTTGTGCATTGTTAATTGGGAGTTTTGGTTTATACACATATCCCCATTTCCGACTGAAAACAAAGGTTTCGTAAATTTGAGCACAATTTATGTGATAGGTTACAACTTGTAGCTGTGCACAGAATTAATTATAAAACGAAATATGAATATATTACTCACTTGTGTATGCCATTCCTATTTATCATCCAACCCTGTTTTTTCGACAGCTATTTTAGATCTACATCCCGTTGCCAGACTCATCTTTCATTTTTGTCCGTGCCATTCCAGTTCCGTGGCAGCTGAGAAGACTACATCTGGTATCTCGCGAAAACTGATTAAGGTTCATCGGCATAGGAAGACTTTAAAACCCGGCCAAGATCGCAAAACAATGGTAAGTATTGGCTGGGTTTCAACTGACCCCAGGTATTTCATGTTTGCAGTATACCCGCAACTCTCTATTTGGGCCAGTCGTTGCACTTTATTTATGCGTTCTCCATCCCCAGTTATGTGTATTTTTGGGAAAAAAGTGCATCGCTCTATGACAATGGGCCCACCTGCTACAGTTGGGGACTCTTACTTCAGGTGTAAACAGCAATGTTAGCCTTTATCGCTCAAATGTGTACTGTCTTCCTGGAAGGGATCACCCTCATTCATCCCTTCTGGTGCCGTCTGATATTTAACTTCTCTCAAGATTGAAGAAAAACCCAATTTATGCTACTTTTTGTGTTTATCGCTAACATCCACCATTTAAATTCTTTTTTTATCCGAACGCTCCTTGTTAATGGGCTTGCCATGCAACTGTTAAACGGATGACCTCTAATCATCCTTTGTCAAAGAGATTTTTACATACTACGCACTTTCTTTTTACTGCCCTGAAGATACGTGTCAATGTATATCTCAATTCCTTCCTTTCCCCAGAATTCACTTGTCAAGAAAAGAAAACAAAAGGAAGCGAGGACTGCGGCTGTGAGACCCTGCACCTCCGCTTTGTGTGTTCGGGAACGACGACGCCGGGATGCCAGCGCTAGGTCTGTCTGTTATTTTACTTTTTTATTATTTCTACTAGACAAAAAGAAGTAGACATTATATTGTCGTTGCATAATCGGCCTGTTTCATGCCTGTGTGTGTGTCGCCAGATGGATGCCCTCCTTATAATTTTTTCTTAAATTTTCGAAGTTGCTATCTGCAATGACTTGTCAATCTGCTTATTGCCTTTCATGCACCCGCGTGTGTATTCTATCCGCATTCAGACGTCGACGCCCCCAGAAATCATCTTGGTCAACACGTTTCTCACTGGTTCATGGAGGGCGGCATGATGCCAAGGTCAGTAGATCTGGGGCATGCATGCAAACTCTTCACAAGCCTTCCCAAACCGAGGCCACCCCACCAGTCACTGCCCTGCAGCTCGTCTCGACTGGACAACAGACTGGATCTTCAGCTCTGGCTGCAACTTTGGCTAGCTGGTGCATGGAGTTACTGTCTCGCGGAATTATTTCGTTGCCTCCTCGTGGTACGGTGCTTCCATCTCTCCGTGGCCAAATTACGGTTTCATATCCGAGTTTCTTCAGTAAAAGTGACATCAGTTTGGTGGTGCGGCAACTTTCCCGGTCAAGGCTTATCCAGACACAGACTGTCCTAGGCCTCTGCGAC